TAAAAACAGTCCAAAAACCTTAGATGCTGGTACAGAGAAGTGCAATTTGGAGATTATTGCCAACAGTTATCAAAGCAGTTACATCATTTAGAAAATAGGCATTAAACACACTAAATCTCTCAGATGTAATTGTAAGGGATATTCTGTAATGTACATCTTAATTTCTTTTTTTTTTATTTTATATATTTATTTGAGAGGCAGAGTTACAAAGAGGGAAAGACATGGAGAGGTCTTCCATCTGTTGGTCCACTCTCTAAATGGCCACGATGGCTGGAGCTGGACTGATCCAAAGCCAGGAGCCAGGAGCTTTTTCTGGGTCTCCCATGTGGGTACAAGGGTCCAAGGACTTGGGCCATCCTCCACTGCTTACCCAGGCCATTAGCAGAGAACTGGATTGGAAGAGGAGCAGCCGCAGGCAGAGGCTTAGCCTACTACACCAGAGTGCTGGTCCCCTTAATTCTGAATTTCCTGATGTAGATTCTCAATTTGTATGTATTTCATTTATATTTATATTTATTTATTTATTTATATGAATTTTGTGGAATACACAAACATTTGGCCCACAGAGCTTCCAACTTTTCCTATTTTTTTATATCTATTTTGGAGGATGTAAATCGTATCAGTGCCCACCCTAAATATACAAATTGAATCCATTCAATTAGTCATTTAATGGACATCATTACATTGTTCCCTTAGCACTGAGTTGATTACTGAGCATAGTCTCTGATCTTGAAGAACTCACATTCCAGGTCCAAAAACACTGAAACCAAAAATCAGCATACAACGTGCTATAGGTCATTGTGTAGTATAACTGGAAAGGGTCTTATTTATCATATTTCTAGGGTATATCTGGTCTTTTTGTCTTTTTCTGGGATGGTTTTCCAGAACTCTCCAGCTTCCTCCCTCTAATCAGCCTGGATCATATGGTTAATAGTTTACACTTTTACCTGTTTCCTAGGTACCATTGATCAATCATTGCTCTACTCCTAATTAATCCCTAATTTTGTATTGATCCAATCATCTGCTTTTTGCTTCCAAACACTAGTGAATACATACCTATATGCTAATCAACTTTGTTAAAATTGCTATTTTCAGCCTCATTTGGCACTGCTAGGCTAATCTGTTACTGTCCATGGTCAGCTCAATTTTATCTAAATTTACAGTGGCTAACTCCTTCAATTAACTCCTTCAATTTTAAGGCTGACCAGTGTGTTGGATTAAATTCAAGACAATTTCCAGCTGTGGCACCCCAAACAATGATTAACTTATTTTCCTATCCTCATTTCATTCCAGATCTCAATGGTTTTCTATCCAGATTCTATTCCAAATGTGGTACTTGGACTTCACAAAGTTTTCTGCTTTCCAATTTTTCCTTCCTGTTGGAACAAAATAATCTCCAGGATTTGAATTAGCCTGCAATGTCTTAATCCTGAAATGCTGTAGAGTTCAACTCATGGAACACTTTTTTTTTTCCTCTTCCTTGGTGATCTCATCTAATCTTACGGCTTTCAAAATATCCTCCATTTCCTGATGACTCCCAATTTTACTTCTCCAGCTCAGATCTCTCCTGAACTCAAACTTCTATATCTGCCTACTCAAAAATCTCAATTTGGTTATCACATGCCACCTCAAACTTCACATGTTCAAAATCAAGACCTAACAAGAGAACACTTTTGGGAGTGATGGATATAGTCATTATCTTTTTTTTTTTTTTTTTTTTGACAACTAGAGTTATAGACAGTGAGAGACAGAGAGAAAGGTCTTCCTTCTGGTGGTTCACTCCCCAAATGACTGCTACTGCCGGCACTGCACTGATGTGAAGCCAGGAGCCAGGTGCTTCTTCCTGGTCTTCCATGCGGGTGCAAGGGCCCAAGCAATTGGGCCATCCTCCACTGCCTTCCCGGGCCACAGCAGAGAGCTGGACTGGAAGAGGAGCAACCGGGACTAGAACCCAGTGCCCATATGGGATGCTGGCACCACAGGCAGAGGATTAGCCAAGTGAGCCCTGCGCCGGCCCCGGTTATAGTCATTATCTTGATCATGGTAATGATCTCATGGATGTATACCTATGACAAAAACTCTTGAAGGGGACAGAGTAAGAGAATATCATTATGTTCTTAGAATTATGTTTTTTGAGTTCTATCTACAAAGCTCACGGATTTTTTTTTAAAAAACTAACTAAAGGGGCCAGTGCTATGGCAGGGTGGGTGAAACTGCTGCCTGCATGCTGGCATCCCATATGGGCACTGATTCACATCCTGGCTGCTCCACTTTCGATCCAGATCTCTATTGTGGCCTGGGAAAGCAGTGGAGGATGGCCCAAGTTCTTGGGCCCCTACACCCGCGTGGGAGACCTGGAGGAGTCTCCTGGCTTCGGATTGGCAAAGCTCCGACTGTTGTGACCTTTTGGGGAGTGAACCCGCGATGGAAGACCTTTCTCTCTGCCTCTCTAATTCAGCCTTTCAAATAAACCTTTTTTAATACAGTGCATAGTTTATTGCATATTATACTTAATTAAAGTTAGCAGGCAAGGACAAGTCAAAAAAGTTTGCTGACCTTAGTAGTGATGCTCTATACTCATGTTATCTTCTTCAAATGTTAATGTATATTCTGAAATGCATTTTTCATTATTCCATTGCTTTTTCAGAGAACTAGAATAAATCAAGTAATCACAGTTAACAAATTCCCCAACAGGCTGTATTTTACTCTACTTGAGATTGAGATTAAAACTTTACTTCTGGTTTAACTCTGATAAATTCAGCTTAATGGTGCCCTGGGATCTTCCACATGGATAAGTGATCAGTCATCTGATCTCTGTATATACCCGTAAGTGTAGGGCCAGAGGTGGTAGGGTAAGACCCAGAGGCAATACTCTATATACTATGATGAGTGGCTGACACTGTTGTGCAGTGGGTTAAAGCCCCAGCTTACAGCGCTGGCATCCTATATGGATGCTGTTCGAGTCCCTGCGGCTCCACTTCCAGTCCAGCTTTCTGTTATGGCCTGGGAAAGCAGTAGCTGGCCCAAGTCTTTAGCTCAGCTCTGAATGTTGCAATCATTTGGGGGAGTGAACCAGGGGATGCAAGACCTCTCTCTGTGTAATTGTCTTTCAAATAAAAGGGTCTCAGTCAGGGAGGAGGCACAGGCAAGATAAGCAGATCCTTGTAGGCTGAGTCGAATGGAAGTTGGAATCCTAACTAGGGAATTGGTGTAAAAACCATGAAAACAGCCACATGATCTTTTACATAAACTGGGCACACACAAGGATTATGAGATACTATGAGGTACTTTAATCTGTTCAAAGGACACTTGGCTAGCCAAGTGCAGTGAATGTTTCTGGCAATAGAAATGATTTTAGAAAACACCAAATGTTAGTTTTGAGCCTGATTACCTCCAAGTCCTTTAAGGTACAGGTAAAACAATTCCTATTTGGCTTAAGTCACAAAAGCCAGACTTGCAAATTCTGCTTTCAAGTCTTCCTACTGTCATTTTATAAAATTCAAATGATTACAGGATAACTCCCTTGTTCAGAAACTATTATTTATTTCAGCCTCACCTTCTGCCTTGTGTTATCTATACACCCTATCTTTAGAATCTGTCATTACCTGGTTCTGGACTATGTCTATGCTAAGCATTTCTTCTTACCTACATCTGAGTTGGTGTTGACTCAATGTTTTCTTTTTAAACTGATTGCCTTTTTCCCTCTTATAGCACAACATCTTATAGCACAACTTGAATTTTATCTTTGGCCTTCTTGGCAATGCAATAAAGTACACACCCACTTCCCTTAGGAAAAGATAAAGTAAATGCACAGCACCAATGTGGATTATCAACTAAGTAAATAAATATGACATTAATAGATATATTAGGAGACAGGGAATCAAAATAGGAACTGCAGGAAGAGGTCAGAAGTCTTCATAGCAAACTGTATTTCGTAACTTTGCAATATTTGGAAGTGCTTGCCAGCTTTGACAAAAGGGGAAAGGCACTTTTCCCTTTTTCATGGGCTCTCCAGAACTAAATCTCATTACTTTCTATACAAAATTAAGTGGTTTGCCCCATGCCAGGTACTTGAGACTTGTAAATAAATCTTGGCCTTAAATTCACATCTTTCTTGCTGCTCCACAGCTGGAGCTGCAATAATCTACCTTTCTTAAGTACACTCATTCCTTAATTTATACCTTAATATGTGTATTTACTTCACTGTGGAATCCCCAGCCCTGATCTGACAAGATACCCAAAATCTGCATTTCCATGTGGTGGCATTAACTTACTTAGGCAAGTTCACTGTGCCTGGCCATATTCATTATCCAATTTTGAGCTCTAAGCCCTTATTTGCTATATGAGGATTTCAAGGAACACCAGATCAACTTTCAAATGGGAGGGACAGATGGGCACTGTGGTGCATCAGATTAACCCACTGCTTGGAATGAAGAGACATTCCATATATTGGAGTCCTAGTTCCCCCAGGTTCACTGAGCTTGGGATGGGGTGGGAAAGAGCTTAAGATAGCCCAAGTACTTGGGTTCCTGTACCTGTTTGAGTGTAGAAAAAACATGGGAAGATCTGCCTTCCAAACAATTTGGGCTTGGTAAGCATTTATTTACAAAACTATTTACATGTGAAGCCCAACCATTTAGGTTAGATGCTATTGCTGTTCATACTAAATGCATTATGTGTATTTTACTAGTTTTAACCCTGATGTTTTATGAGGCACCATGCCTCACAAACTTTCAGGATCCCATTCTTTTGTTTGAGCACCCCTACTTTGAAGGTTATAATTAGCATAGGACTAAGTAGTCTGTGATTTGGTTAGCAATCACTTATTTTCATGTGTGGCATTCCTCCCCAAATAATTCTTTTATTTCCACTTTGCTCTTACTTCATTCAGTTCTGAAATACAAGTGCCCAGCATAAAGTCAAGGTGTCCCATCTTAATCCTGTGATGAGCAAACAGCCATTTTTTCCAATAACATCCCACAAAAGATTTTCCCACGTCATTATAAATTTAACTCAATATTATTTTAATTACAAATATTTTAAAGACAAACAGGTGACTAAATATGAAATAGTCATATTCAGAATATTTGTTTACAGGGCTAGTTAGCTGAAGACAACCTTTCATTAAGAAAACCCCACTGTTTCAGTCTGTTTACAAAGGAAACAAAAAGCCCATAAAAAGTAGAATCCAAAACTAAGTTTTCTTTTCATGTCCACCTTTTCTTTCTGGATGTTTTTCTTCAATAGCTTTTCATACAGATAAGCTTCCAGGATTAGCCCTAAAAAAGGAAATACAGGAGATTTATAAAACTCCATGTTAAAATAATTTAAAAGCATAAAAATAGTATTATTTTTAAAATGGTCTATCTCAGAAGCCAGATCCGTATAGCGTTTTTTTTTCAACAGAAAATTCAGGTTCGGGATAAGATCATCATAGATAAGACCAGAGGCTTAATATTCATTAAACGCTAAGCAAAATCCAAAATCACTTACAGAAATGGCTGCACTTTCAGCAAGCTGTCCTTTCAATGGGAAGACAGCGACCTGCACTGTTTACAGAAGAAAGCCCAGTGTCAGGATTTATTGTGAACAGACTGTTATAAAACCCACAAAACAAATCTCATTTCTGCATATTGGTCTTCTCTCAGAAGCCGAATCCGTAATACTTTTTCTTCAGGTACTCAGCTTCGGGATAGGTTCATCATTGGGTAGACCAATCATGCCTTATATGTTCATAAGTAATAACACATCAACCCATTAAGTCCCAACTTTCCAATTTTTTGTCAATTATTTCAAAATTACCATAAGTTGTATATTATATTCATTGCTCATTTTAATGGCTCTTATACATAGAATGAGACATAATGGGTTAACCTGTATCTTAGATTTTATCACAAAGCCTGCTAAACATACTGGAAATACCACTGAACTTGGAAGTCACACAACTTACATCAAAATGAAGTGGCATGGCTATAGCTTCATTAGCATTCAGCAACATCCAGGCAACTGTTCAACGACAAAAATATCTTTCAGCTTACACATGGATTACATGCAGGCTCAGTTCTAAGCACTAGCTTAACACATACCTGGTAGTCGGTCAGCCTTTATCCAAGTAATCTTCCATTAAGTATCTTCCAGATGTTTTGGAATTTTCTCCTGCACCTAATAAAAAGTAGCAAATTCCAAATGAGACACACTGCTTTCTCGTCCTGTTGAATCAACAGGTTTACACTGTCAGTTCGAAAACAGCTCAACAGCGCTTACCTCAGCATCTACACAGAACTGCTCACACACACCGAAGAGCGCCAGCGCCATTGTTCCTGCGGGGGACGGGTGTTGGAAAAGTTAGCCCTCTTGGAGGATGTAACAATCCAAGGTTTTTTTTTGTTTTTCTTTTTTTTAGCACAAAGTCTCTCCCCTCCATTAATCCGACCTGAACATCATACCGCCTAGGAACAAGACAGCTCGATCTCACGCCTATTTTGAAATCACCTGGCTAACAGGGAAAGCCATTCGCCATGTTAGCTAAGGCCCCTGGCTGTTAAGCCAACCTCCCTCCCCTCAGCCTCTCAGGTTCCCCGCGGCCTGAGCCAGGCGCCTCGCCACGCGCGGCGACCCGTGAGCGCCTCCTGCTCAAGCTCGAGGCCTGCCACCTCCCACAGAACACGTGGCGGTCAGGCCCCGCGCTCCTCACCCGCTCATTTTTCACATCTAGGCTGCGGATTCTAATTCCTGAGACCGCTTTCCGGTACCGAAGCACCGAACCTCGGCGAGAACCACCACTTTTGCCTTGGCTCGGAGCCCGCGCCACCCACTCACCTGGCGCCCAAAGAACAACTCCCAAGTCCCGCCGTAAAAGAACTAACCGTCTCCGATGCAGCTCCCTATATAGCCTCGTCTGAGTCAGACCGAGGCCGCTCCTCCCTCTCGCACCTATTGGACGCGGGGGAGGACGGGGCGTGGTCTTTCCTTGGGGCGACCCCGCGGGAGCGCGCACGGCGGCTCTTCGGAGCCCGTGCAGGGGCGTGGTGCACGCACCGCACGGCCGCCGCGCGCCCGTCCCCTAGGCGGCGCGCGGCCGTAGGCGCGCTAGGATCCGTCGCTTCCGAGACTGGCGGGAGACCTGGCCCTACGTGGCGCGGGAGTGGCGCCAGAATTCAAACTAACAGCCCCAGTTGGAGGCGAGGCTACTGCCTGCCGGGAGCCAAGTCCGCCCAGGACAGATTGGGGCCGGGAGTGGACTAGAGTTTTGCAGCGCTGGCGGCCTCAGGTTAGGACCCGGTCGAAAAGTCGAGCTGACTGGCCGCCCGGTGACGGCTGGCGGGCGTTGGCCGGAGCACACTCTGAAAGGGCAATCGGCGGGCAGAAATAGGGTGAAAAAGCGCCAACAGCCCCGGCAGCCCCGTCGCGCCGCACGGAGCCCAGCAGGGCCTCGGGTAGACGCCTAGAAGCGAGCGGGGCCCAGCTCCCTGCGCGCTTCCTTCTGTCGGGCAGTTTGACTCGGTCACCACCTTGTACAAGTCTTTCTCAGACAGCAAACCTGAAACACGACTACTCCATTTCGCAGAGTCGCGAACCGTGGTCCGAAGCAGCGAAGCAGTTTTCCCGAGGTCACACGACTGAAATGTCTCGCTTTTTAAAATATCTTGGAACTTTATTAGTTGATGCTGAATGCAGGAGGTTAATTCCATGGGTGTTTTTGAATGCTTTACCCATACTTTAAAAATGTACACACATGACATTTGAACATTTCAGCTTAAAAATTCGGGTCTTCATAGCATTTCCTACTAATTAACATAGTGTGCATTTATTTCTGGCTTGTCTCCGCTGGTAGGTACCCCTACTGGAAGAGCACATCTGGTTCTGGTACTGCTGTTCTCTGGCTCAGGGTGCTCCATGTGACAGACGTTCAGAGATTATTGGCTAAATGTATACATTTATTAATACACTTGGTGGGTTTTTAAGAAAATTAGAATGAAGATCAAACTCCAGATTAAAAGTTAATGGTAAAAAGATTTCTCTAACAAGAACCTAATTGATGAAGTATTTTCTTGACTGGGCATTATGTCTTTCTCCTTCTCTCTCTTTTTTAAAAAATATTGTTTTGGGGCCGGTGCCATGACTCACTTGATTAATCCTCTGCCTGCAGCGCCTGCATTCCATATGGGCACCGGGTTCTAGTCCCAGTTGCTCCTCTTCCAGTCCAGCTCTGTGCTGTGGCCCAGGAGGACAGTGGAGGATGGCCTCCGTGCTTGGGCCCTGCACTCGCATGGGAGACCAGGAAGAAGCACCTGGCTTCGGATCAGCGCAACGCCAGTCGTAGCGGCCATTTGAGGGATGAACCAATGAAAGGAAGACCTTTCTCTCTGTCTCTCTCTCTCACTGTCTGTAACTCCACCTGTCCAAAAAAAAAAAAAAATTGTTTTGTAATGTGCACTACACATGTGCATATCCTCATAGTAAAAAAATAACTAAAACAAAAGAATATAAAAAGCAAAGTAAAGATTCCTTTCCACAGTTTTGGGAATCTTCTCCCCAGCTCTACTGTCCACTGTCCAGCAGGAATGACTATTAATAGTTTTTAGAAGTTTCTTCTTCTTCTTCTTCTTTTTTTTTTTTTTTTTTGGACAGGCAGAGTGGATAGTAAGAGAGAGAGACAAAGAGAAAGGTCTTCCTTTTTGCTGTTGGTTCACCCTCCAATGGCCGCCACGGCCAGCGCGCTGTGGCTGGTGCACCGCGCTGATCTGAAGGCAGGAGCCAGGTGCTTCTCCTGGTCTCCCATGGGGTGCAGGACCCAAGGACCTGGGCCATCCTCCACTGCCTTCCCTGGGCCCCAGCAGAGAGCTGGCCTGGAAGAGGAGCAACCGGGAAAGAATCCGGAGCCCCGACCAGGACTAGAACCTGGTGTGCCGGCGCTGCTAGGTGGAGGATTAGCCTATTGAGCCGCGGCGCCAGCTAGAAGTTTCTTCTTTATACCCATCTGTATATATATATTTTTTCACATAGAGAGAGGATCTATATACTTTTCTGCAACTGGCTTTTCCTTCTAACAAATATCAGACACCTTTTCATATCAGAACTTATAGATGACTTTATTTTCTTTTATAACCTGAATAGTATTCAGTTGGATGTTTCCTGATATTTTATCAATTTCTGATTTTTTACTGTTTCAAAGACAGCTAAAATGAACTATAAATATATCTTAGTGAGTTTCTAGAAGTGCACCAAATGTAATATGCACTTAAATTTGTGTTAGGTAATGCTTACTAGTTACATTCCCTCTTGCCGCACAAAATGTTGTGTGTTTTGATCGTGTTTTGAAGTATTTATTTTATTTTATTTTTATTTATTTATTTATTTATTTTGATCCGAAGCCAGGAGCCAGGTGCCTACCCCTGGTCTCCCATGCGGGTGCAGGTCCCAAGCACCTGGGCCATCCTCCACTGCCTTCCCAGGCCACAGCAGAGAGCTGGACTGGAAGAGGAGCAACCGGGAGAGAATCCGGCGCCCCAACCAGGACTAGAACCCGGGGTGCCGGCGCCACAGGTGGAGGATTAGTCTAGTGAGCCACGGCGCCGGCCTTGAGGTATGTTTTGCTAATTCACAAACACAAGTATGGAGTGGCAGTCATTGCAGTTGAGAGTTATAGTCATCTTAAATACCTGAGCGGAGATGCGTGTGAAGAAGAAGGTTTATTTTAACATACAATTTTGAAAGTTCATAATCCACCATTGGGAGGCCAATTAGTCTGGTGTCTGACAGACTGGCAATGGCAAAGAAAGATAACATATAGTAAGCCAGGAAGCAGACACAGTACATTCTTCCTACATGTCCCATGTGTCTCTCTGTATAGGCACACTGATTAGCTGCACCCTAAAATCAATCTAATCATGAGGTCCCACCTTCAGATACCAAAATTTGATCAAGTCCTGTACTTAATCTATTAAGAAGACTATGGTGATCAAGACTTCAACAGAGTTGTTGGGGCAGAGGGGAGGTGTCACCGAAATTATTTTCTAAACCATAACATGAACTAATATTGCCCTTCTTATCTTGGAACCATTGCTGTGCCAAATACCATCAAAATCACTTGATCAAAAGCTGTATAAAACAATGAATGATTCCCTACTCTAACTTACAAATGGAAACTGGGTGAGTTAAAAAAATGACAGATTTCTAAGCTATAACTTGGAATTACCAAAGCAGAATCTCCGAAAGTGGAACCTAAGAATTTTTTTTTACAAAAGATTTATTTATTTATTAGAAAGGCAGAGTTATGGAGAGGCAGAGGCAGGAAGAGAGAAAGAGGTCTTCTGTCCGCTGGTTCACTCCTCAGATGGCCACAATGGCTGGAGCTGGGCAGATCAAAAGCCAGGAGCCAGCAGTTTCTTCCAGGTCTCCCATGTGGGTGCAGGGGCCCAAGGACTTAGGCCATCCTCTACTGCTTTCCCAGGCCTTAGCAGAGAGCTGGAATGGAAGTAGAACAGCTGGTACTCAAACTGGTGCCCATATGGAATGCTGGCACTGCAGGCAGCGGCTTTACCTGCTACGCCACAGTGCCGGGCCCCTCTAAGAATATTTTAACTAACCCTTAGAACACTGCTGTCTGGTAGGAATTTAATATGAACTGCAGTGCACTCTTCATATGTGTCGCTCCCCCTCTTCGTGGAGGAACGACACAGGACCCTGCGCTGTTCTTTCGTCTGCTCGGCCCTTCCCAGGTTTACTGCTGGTTCTTCCCGGGTTGGCTACCGTCCCTTCAGATAGATGTTCCCCTTAGATGTTCCTTCAGATAGATGTTCCTGGTGCTGTCTCTCTCCTCCTTTATAGTCCTTTTCCACCAATCCCAACTCTGCTACCCACACGCCGAGTACGCTGCTCTCCTCCAATCAGGAGCAGGTCCTGCTGTTTATTGGTTGAACTGGAGGCAGCTGTGTAGAAGCTGTTACTCCTCTCCCAGCGCCATATTGTGGGAGAGCAGATGCATAGAATAAGTCTTAATTCCAGTAACTTAGTCTAGTCCGAGTTGCTCCCAGTTGCTCCCCACAATATGTAACCTTAATGTGCTAATAGCCACATTTTTAAAAAGTAAAAAGCATCAGATGCAATTAATTCTACTACATTGTAATACATTTTATTGAATACAATATAAGCAAAAAATTTTATGTTCAACATATAAACATTATTGAGAAACTTTACATTTTACTTTTGTATGCAGTCTTTCGTAGATACAATTTTAGGAGTATGGTGGCTTTTTCCCCTTTACCCCTTACCCCCAGCTCCCACCCGACCTCCCTCTCCCTCTCCCATCTCCTTCCTTGTGGTTCATTTTTAGTATGACTTTATATACAGAGGATCAACTCCATGCTAAGCATAGACTTCAACAATTTGCATCCACGCACACACTCAACATATGGAGTACAGTTTGGGGAGAATATTTGCAATCAATTCTCATATTACAACTCATTAGGGACAGAGGTCCTACATGGGGAGCAAGTGCACAGTGATTTCTGTTGTTCCTTTAATAGTTAACACTCTTATTTATGACATCAGTGATCAGCCCAGGCTCTTGCCATGGGCTGCCAAGGCTATGGAAGCCTTTTGTGACCATAGACTCCATCGGTATTTGGACACAGACAACTTCTTTAAAAAAAAAGAGGTAAATCAGGGGTTACTGGTTTGGAGGTGGGGGAAAGCAAGATGATTCAGTTTTGGTTGTGTTAAATTTTGGGTTACGTTTGTTCAGTGGACCATTAGGAATGTGGAAAAAGAAAAAGTCATGGCTAGAGAAAGACTATTTGGCAAACAGTAGTATAGAGAGTATGGCTGAAGCCAGGTGAACAGATGATTATGGAGAGAAAAGGAAAAAAGAATAAAAGGAAAAAAGAATTAGTGTCATTGTGTGCAGATAACCTGCAATAGACAACCTTTGAAAACATAGTGTGCATAATATAAGGATCTGATTATACAATGAATAAAGAAGAAAAGTGCACATTATTTTTTTGCTTGTTTGTTTTGTTTTTTAAGATTTATTTTATTTTATTTGAAAGAGAGTTACAGAGAGAGGTAGAGACAGAGAGAGAGGTCTTCCATCCGCTGGTTCACTCCCCAGATGACCACAATGGCGGGAGCTGTGCCAATCCGAAGCCAGGAGCCAGGAGCTTCCTCCAGGTCTCCCACGCAGGTGCAGGGACCCAAGGAGTTGGGGCATCTTCTACTGCTTTCCAAGGCCATAGCAGAGAGATGGATTGGAAGAGGAGCAGCTGGGACTAGAACTGGCGCCCATATGGGATGCCGGCGCTTCAGGCCAGGGCTTTAACCTGCTGTGCCACAGCGCTGTCCCCAAAGATGCACATCATTACAGCATTTGATTAAATTACATTACGACTTTGTCTCTCAAGTATTGTAAGTATAATTAATTTATTCCAAAGCATAAACATTAATTTCAGAAAAGAAGTAAAGACTGTTAGCTCTTGGTATAAAGTTTTGATTTTCCCAGTGTTTGAACTGGACAGTAAACTGTAGGTTTCATAGTAGGACAAACACACAACTGAAAATCTTATTGTTGCTCCAAGAAGTAGTGAAATTAAAGAGCTAAATTAGAGAGGCAGACTTTGTGGCACAGTGACTTGAGCCCCTACTTGGGATACCTGCATTCCATATCAGAGTTCCGTTGGAGTCTGGCTGCTCTTCTTCTCCAGCTTCCTGCAATGCATCCTGAGGGGCAGAAGATGATGGCCAAAGTGCTTAGGCCCTTGCCACCCATGTGGGAGACCCAGATGGAGTTCCTGGCTCCTGGCTTCTGTTCAGACCTGTCTGCTGTTGCCATTTGGAGAGTGAGTTAGCAGATAGATCTTTTTCTCTGTCTCTCCCTTTTTCTCTGTTGCTTTTTCAAGTAAGTAAAAATATATAAGCATTAAAAACCAAAAAGAGCTAATTTAGAGATTTCTCATACATGTGGAAATATTAATGAAGCAGTTTGATACATGCGTCTGAAGTTCAAAGGAGAAGTATGGCTTGAGTGTCATTGGCATGGGTCAGGAATTTAAAACCTGACACAAGTGACCCCATCCATCAGGGAAAGAATATAAATAGAGATGAGGAAAAAGCCCAGGACAGAGCCACGAACACTTCAAACTTCAGAATTTCAGTAGAGGAGGAAGAGCCAGCAAAGACTCCTTGAGGAGAAAACTGGAAAATATCATATCTTAGAAATGAAGTGAAGAATTACAGGGATAGCTCAGTTGCATGCTTCTGAAAGATCAAGTAAGATAACAGAAATAATCATTGGATTTGGCAACATGACGATCACTCTAGATATTGTAAACATAATCTTAATGGAATAGCAATAGAAGTCCACTTGAACAGGATTGAAGTGATAATGAGGTGAGAAAATAGAAAGAGGTCAGTAGGTAAAGAAGGATGTAGGGTCAAGGAACTGTTTTGTATATGGAAGACACTAGTGCATACTTACATGTTCATGGAAATGGTTTTGTAGAGGGAGAAGATATATGACACAGGAAGAAGAGGCAAAAGTTACTGTAGACAAATCCTTAAGAAGACAAGAGGAAATCATCTCTAGAATATGAATAGAGATTTTTGCCTGGAAAAGAGACTTAATCTATTAAAACAAAAGAGAAGGAAGATATTGGGAATGGAAATCATAAATAACCTGTGAATATTTGCACAACTACGGAAGAGTATGCTTTGGTCCTGGAGCCTTTTCTTATATGGAAATAAGGAGTCCTTAAACCTGTGCTGAACAAATTGCCTTCTTTGAGAGTATCTTTCTTTCTTTGGGTCTTGATGTGTACTTCTTTGTCCTACTTAAAGCATGTGCATCATAATGCACCTGGCCAACTCCACTGCTGTATCTCTGGGGAGGGAAAAGTTTCCTCTGGCTGCAGAACAAGAGAGATGCACACATATCATCACCCTGTATAAGCCGCAGGGCAAGACCTGTTTGCCATAGCTTCAATAGTTCCATTATTGAAACAGATCTTCTCTATCCCTTCACTACATGAATAAAGCTTTGTCTCCTCTATTGCCTACAAGAGTTCAATCTTCCTTGGTGGCTCCAATACCTTCAAACCATGTAGTGGGGTAACATCCTGAGACTACTGCTTCTGGTAGTAGGCAACAAGTGTCATTTGATCAACAGTTTAACACAGTAATCCGAGTTACTATGGCATGATGGAGATGCAGGGTCCATGCAGGGTGTTGCCAAATCACTGAGGGAATGATGGCCTGACTGAGATACTAGTCTCTCTTAGATTGCACAGGGTAAATTAAGTATAGACAATCTCCCTGATGAGGATAAACTGGTGTAATGAATGAGGGTAGAAATACAAAAGATGGGCCCTAAAAAGCAAGAAGTCTATACTCTGGCTCCTGGCCATCCCTGTACTCCCCCATACTATTTGCCATCTCCCACTGTATCCCAGGGGTTGCAGACCACTCCTGAAAGGAATCAAAACTTGTACCCTTACAGGAAGCTCCATGTAGTCTGGTAGATTACAATATTCAATTAAGACTGGTTTCTACTACTCATAAATGGTATTGCTGAAAATGAGATTGTTGTAAGGTCCTTTTCTGAGAATCAAATCTGAAAACTGAAAGACAGCTTTGTGTGGATGCCAGAGGAGTCTCACGTAGCTTACCTGTTTGAGGAGGGGCTTTGCAGACTCAAATGTTTCAGGCTGAATGATACAAACTAGAAAAGCTAACCACCAACTCCATGCTGCAATGTGTTTTTGCTTGCTTTGAACCAGACAGGATGGGCAGAGATGATCTCATGTTGCTTTTGGTGCATGTTGCAAAGAGCATGAGAATGGTATTTCCAATCACTGAGGATTCACCCAAGGCCAAGATTGCCAGGAAAACTGTTCATAATGTCTTAACTGCTCTTAAAGTAAAAGCCATATACAGCTGACTATATGACCCAACTTCTGGGGAGATGGAGGACATATTGGAAGCATTCACTTGACAGGACCTCTCAAAGAGTAGACCTCATTATCCATATTCTTGTACCCTGAAATAGGTATGGAGATGAAGCAGTGGAAAAAATCCATTGAAATACCCTGCTTTGGTATAAAAGCAAAATGGTTTCAATGGTTTTCAACAACTTGGGTCGAACAGAAATCCAACAATGGAAAGCAATACTCCCAAATGGAAGGAGAATGCAAGGAATGACAAAAGGAAGAGGAAGATGGGAAAAGAGTTGACCCAGAGAGCAATATGGTTTTGGTTGTTAAAACAAGAGATAGACAAAACAAAATTAGTGGAATCTCTACAGAAGACTTCAATCATCTGTCAAAGAGAGGGCCTTCCATGTTAGAGGTTAAGGTTCTAAGACCTAAAATCAAAAACAAACAAAAAAAGAGGGAGTTCTTGGACACATGGATTATGGCTTCTCTATTCCTTGAAAGGACATGGGAGAAGATAATTCTGATTGTGAAAATGGTAAGTCAAAGAGTCAAAGATATCACATAAACAAGACTAGTGTCTGCAAATACTAACTGATAGAATAAAAAAGGGAGAGAACGATCCAACATGGGAATTGGGATACACAGCAGACTCAGAATGGCAGATGTCCTAAACAGCACTCTGGCTTCAGAATCAGCCCTTAAGGCATTCGGATCTGGCTGAAAAGCCCATGAGAGTATTTCAGGCATGGAACACCAAGACACTGTGGCAAAACAAAACAAAACAAAACAAAACAAAACCTAAATGGAAGATCTCTGCAAGTGAGATCCCAGTGGAAAGAACAGGTCATCAAAGGAGGTGGTACCTTTCTCTGAAGGGAGGAGAGAACTTCCACTTTGACTATGACCTTGTCTAAATATGATCAGAGTCAGTGAACTCAAAAGGCTTCCATAGCCTTGACAACTCATGACAAGAGCCTAGGGTGATTACTGATGCCATAAACAAGAGTGTCAATTTAACAACAGGAGTCACTCTGCACTGACTCCTCATGTAGGATCTCTGTCCTTAATATGCTGTACTTTGTGATTTAATGCTATAACTAGTACTCAAACAGTATTTTACACTTTGTGTTTCTGTGTGTGTGCAAACTGTTGAAAGCTTTATTTAATATATGCTAAATTGACCTTCTGTATATAAAGATAATTGAAAATGAATATTGATGTGAATGGAAGGGGAGAGGGAGCGGGAGATGGGAGGGTTGCAGGTGGGAGGGAAGTTATGGGGAGGGGAAAGTCATTGTAATCCATAAGCTGTACCTTGGAAATTTGTATTCATTAAATAAAAGTTAAAAAAAATGGTGAGTCAAATAAGGAGGATGATCCCTTGAGCACATTCTCTAACTTTATCCCTTAAAAATAATAAAACCAAGATCTCTAGGTTCTCACTGGAAACCATGGGCTCTACACCCTTGCCAAGACAAAAAAAAAAAAAATCAAATGCAAATCTCAACTTTTATGGGGCTCTTGGTATCCAATCCTTAAATGAGAATCCCAGATTCCCCCACAGGTTAAGTGTGAACTAATAAATTTAGGGGTTGAGACAAATGACCTTTGGCAGATACAGACACAAGAATTTTGCATAGGGCATGTTGGACTATTTTGTGTGCCGAAGATCATGATTGTCACTGCTGAAAGTGTTTTTTTTTTTTTAAGATTTATTTTATTTATCTGAAAGACAGAGAGAGAGAAAGAGAGAGAGAGAGAGAGGTCTTTTATCCATTCCCCAGATGGCCACAATTGCCAGAGCTGTGCTGATCTGAAGCCAGGAGCCAGGAGCTTCCTCCGGGACTCCCACATGGGTGCAAGGGCCCAAATACTTGGGCCATCTTCTTCTGCTTTCCCAGGCCATAGCAGAGAGCTGGATGCGGAAGTGGAGCAGCTGGGACTTGAACCGGTGCCCATATGGGATGCCAGCACTTCAGGCCATGGCTTTTACCCGCTGCACCACAGCACTGGCCCCTGAAAGTGTTTTAATTAGTGATATTTTGGTTATTTATAGCACAACTGCCACTACAGGGCAAATACCTTCTCAGAAAATAGAGGATTAAGCCATAACAGAGGAGCATGTCCACTGTTATACACCACTTAGAATACCCAAGTCCCAGCAAGTTATTCATCAAAAGCAGTACTACCTATCAGGAGTATTATGCATCGTTCAATTGCAGTTTAACAGCCCAGTCAGGACTTTAAAAAAAGACCTTGGAACTGGAAGTTGACAGTATATTACTAATTATTAAATACTTGGATGTCACCCATGGCTCCTATGGTACCTGATAGCATTGCTGTCACTGAGACGGCAGCAGCCTATATAGTATAGACTAATAACATTATTATTGATCTGGCTAAGACCTTCCTTGTTCTTCATTCTTTGCAGGCCACAACCCAGGACCAATTTTTGTTTATATCGAATGATGTACAATATACCTACACTGTAGTTCTACAAAGACACATCAGTTTTCCCAAAAATCCTCCAGATCTGCAGCAAGCCCAGTTACACCTAGGCATACTTGTCATCTACTGCACTGATGACATCCTCATTACCAGCCTAAGAAACAAATCGACCAGGTCCCTACATAAGGTAACAGACACTATGACACACTTAGGCTGGGTCCTCTACCTGATAAAGTTCAGGAACCTGTTCAACAAGTACAGTTTCCCGGAAGCTCCTGAGCCAGTAATCAGATAAGTGATCTTGATAAAGTCAAGCAAAAATTACTGTCCTTCACAGTATGTACAAGAAAGAAACTCAATAGCTAGGGAGTCTGTTTGGATGTTGAAGATAGTATCTACCACATCTATGTATTCTTGTGGCCTCTTTAATTAAGATGGCCTGAAAAATAGTCACCTATAAATGGATCCCTCAATAACGGCAATCTTTCAAGATCATACAACAAGCAATGGCATAGGCCCAAGTAGAACTAGTAACTCTCAGTAACTCTTACCTGTTCAGATTGGATCCTCTAACAAGAGACTGTTACCTGGATGTGTGGACCCCTTGGGTTATTAAAACTTATTTACTTATTTATGTGGAAAGGAGAGAGGTTGGGAGGAGAGAGAGAGAAAGAGAGAGAGAGAGAATACTCCCATCTGCTGGTCACTTCTCAAATGCCCTCAAGGCCTTAGCTGGGTTGAACTGAAGCTGAACCCAGAACTCGGTTGGAGTCTCATATGTCAGTGGCAGGGATCCAAGTACTTGGGACATTACCATTGCCTCCCAGAGTCTGCATTAGCAGGAAACTGGAGTGAGGAGCTGGAGCCAGTTATTGAATTATGTTCTTCAACATAGAATGTGACATCATAACTGATGTCTTAACTATTGGGTTAAATGCCCAACCCCAGCTTGGATTTTAAACACGTAAGTTGCCCTATGTAACTGTAGGTATACACACTTCAAATGACAATTCTTAACCTGCCTTCCGGGCCTGACAAAAACATAGTACCTGACTACTAAAGAACTGTTTGTAATATGAAACTCAAGCTTCCCCTCCTCATTCGGGAACTCAATAATCTTACTAACAAAATAAAGCAAGCTCCATAATTACATACTACTGGTACATCAAAAACCTAGCCTTATTTGGGCCCAAAGGGCTTTACCAACTTCATAAACAAGTAACCACCTTGCTGCTAGGGACTAATGGCTCATAGGGGACAATTCCTTCTGTCCTTTAACTAAATAGGACTCTGGTTCAGAGATGTTCCAAGTGATGATATGACTTGATTCCAGGCAGATCTCCAGTATTTTAGCAAATAGAGTCCAATGGGCTCCTGTGGTCATCTGTTCCAAGGATAGAGAACTCCTAAAGCCAAGAAAAAATACCATATAATAATGATTTCTATATAGGCCACTCCGATAGAACTCCCTGCTACATATTTGCAGACCCATGGACCTTACAAATGCACTAATCGTATGGTTCATTGACTAACAGATTAATAAATGGGCCACAAAATAATATGCTATACGGAAATAAGAACTGTGGTAACAGCTTCCAAACTGGAAAGGAAACCTATTTGTCACTCATGTTGATGCCCAGGACAAAGGTTCACTCAAAAGGAAACATACTTGTAACTCAGAAGCTGAGCTGGCAAGCCCTCAGCAGATCACTACAATTGCTTTTTAGGTCTATAAAAGTACAGGGCATAGAAATATACCTCAGGTACAAAAATGGATCAAATTACAAGGACTCACTCCTCTTCCCCCAAATACAGAAACTAAAGCTGCAACAGTCATATGACTCCTATCAATGAACCCAGACAATGCAACATGGTAAACTGGATCACATTAACCAGACCATAGGCTCCACTTGAATGTGGCAAACTTACCACATCATAGATTTCAGTGGTGCCTCATTTATGAGGATACATATTCCAGATATAGAATGGCCATTCCAGTGCATCATGTAGATTTGGAAATCTTTTCTGTGGCTTTTACAAAGCACCTTTGCCATATGTTAAGGCATCCAGCAGGATTTCAATCCAATCAAGACACTGTATTGCCTGCACAAGCTACATAGCAATAGGCATGCTCCATGGCAAAAGATGGACCTTTTATGCTCCCTATCACCCCAAGCAAATGTGATAATAAAATGATAATAAATAATAAAATAATAAAATGGTAATTCAAATAATAGCTTCAAAAAGTCTATCAGGAAGAATAATTTGCCAAATGGTACCCCTACTTTAAAAAAGCCAATTGTAATTGAATACACCCCAGAGTACAGAAAACATGGCACTGCAATGCATATTGTACAGTACAGAGCTTAATGGCAGGTGGGGGACAAGGCATCTGCCTGAATTGGGCTTCACCTGTGAAATTCCAGTCTCAGTATACTCAATCATTCTTTTCATTTTTTTCCCACAGGTGTACACTCTCTGGGGGGTGGCTTGTGGTCCAAGCTGTAGAGGGACTGCCAGTAGGATCTTTGACTTAAACCTGAAAGGAATTCTACTTTCAGGTATCAATCTCTTGTGGAACTCCATGGGGATAAGGGAAGGGATGACAGAATATCAAAGCACTAGGGTCTTCCTGGTTGTGGCTAGGACTCTTAAACTTGCAATATAAGTGGGCAATATTTTAGGATATCTCAAAAATTTTAAAAGTGTGGATTTATTCAAGAGGGAGAGGGGGAGGGAAAGGAAGATGGAGAAGAAGAGAGAGAGAAAGAGTGTGGGGAGCAACCCGGACTAGACTGTTACTGGAATTAAGACTTATTCTATGCATCTGCTCTCCCACAATATGGCGCTGAGAAGGGAGTAACAACTTCTACGCAGCTGCTTCTTGCCAGCTTGAGTGATGACCTGCAGGAGCTGATCCTGCTCCTGATTGGAGGAGAGCAGCGTACTCGGCGTGTGGGTAGCAGAGTTGGGATTGGTGGAAGAGGACTATAAAGGAGGAGAGAGACAACATGCACCAGGAACATCTAAGGGGAACACCTGAGGAACATCTGAGCAGCCCCCGAGAGAGCCGGCCGGCGGTGTGCCGCTCCCCCGCGGAAGTGGGGAAAGTGGCAGGGGGAACCGCCCTTCCACGGAGGTGGAAGGGTTGGTAGCCAACCCGGGAAGAACCAGCAGCAAACCCGGGGAGGGCTGAGCAGACAAAAGAACAGCACAGGGTCTAGTGTTGTTCCTCCGCGAAGAGGGGGAGCGACATAATGGTGCCGTGACTCGGATATGAAGCCTAGGCAGGGTTTAGTGTCGTTCCTCCAAGAAGAGGGGGAGCGACAAAAGAGAAAGAGAAAAGAGAGAGAGAGAGGGAAGGAGAGAGAGAGGGAAGGAGAGAGAGAGGTATCTCACATCCATTGTTTTTGTTCTCCAGATGCCTGCAGGGCCAGCAGTGGGCCAAGCAGAAGCCACAAACTGGGAACTCAATCCAGGTCTCCCACAAGAATGGCAGGAACCCAACTACTTGAGCCATCACTGCTACCTCCCAGGATCTGCATTAAGAGGAAGCTGGAGTCAGGAGCTGAAGCTGAGCCTTGGATCCAGGTACTCAGATATGGGATGCAGGTGTCTTACCACTCAGATAAATGTCCACTCCAGAAATATGTCAAATTTGTTTAGGATAAGACGTTTCTCTTCAGGTGAATCATTGGAACTGAAAGGTTTTGGTTAAGTATTAGGGCAGTAGATCCATGGAAGTTATAGCCTCAGTATATTGACAAATAGCCTAAATGGCTTTATTTGATCAAGCCTCACCCCAGGACACTGAACAACAGTATCTGGCCTCAGGTATGTGAAGAGAGAGTGGAGTGGGAATAGTAATCCTTCCTTTTATTCCTGTAGAAATCTCCTAATTGCCTGGCATGATAGCATGGATAAGAATCAGCACAGCTGTGATGAGTGTAGGTAAGTTCAAATAATACTGAATTTACCACCCCATACTGAAATTCTATTTGTTACACACTCCTATTGTAGTGGTATGGCTGGTGCACGGTGACTAGGACCTTCTCTAAGTCGTCCAATACCAGCAAGACTCTATTAATTCACGAGCCAAGGTGGTTATGGACAACAGAATAGACTTTGATTATCTGTTGGCAGAACAGGGTAGCATTTGTCTTATGGCTAATACTTCTTACTGCTTATAAATCAGTAATTTGGGGAAGGTAAAAACTGAGTTGGAGATGACCCAAAGTCAGGCAAATGGTTTTCAGGTTTACATTTCACAATTCCCCAGACTTATTTTATATTAGTCTCCTTAGTTGGCTTAATCTAGGCACTTGGGATTCCTGATTCTCCAAATAACCTGGATGGAATATTATCTCAAAATGACAGGAGTGTCTTCAAGCAAAGCATATCCGTATGGGTTGTTTAGAGGTCCAATGAGACTCACGTTCATTTTAAAATTTGGGAAGTAGTAGTCCTATCAAATTTGATAAACTTTATTTGCTCTTAGGCATCTGAGTAAGACTAGGGGCTGAACTGTTGGGAAAGGCAATTATGTGCAGCTTTTTTGACCCTTACATGGCTACATGAGAGTGCAGTTTAGGCCTGAAACATTTTGTAGTGAAAGGACTCTAAAAACCTATACTGGGAAAATTGCCTAGTTTGGGGATATCTTTTGATATTCAAGATTTGATTTACTGGGTGAGTAAAATATTGTTATATCCAGTGCTGTGGGTACCGTGTCTTAGTGATCCCAATGCTGCAAATTGTACAGTGGGTTGACATGCTGAGGCTGCTGCTCCTGATGGTAGGCAACAGATATTACTGATTCCAGGAAGAATAGGTACAGATAATTGAGGTTCTGACTCGTTTGCATTGTCTTAAATAATTATGAGGCAAGGCCATGAATTGAGAATTGAATGTTGAGAGATGTAAGAGGTCAGAAGCACATGTAAAATTGTCATCATGGAGGATGAAAAAGCAGACACACAAAGGAAATAGAGTAGGACTGACTGGTAGTGTGGAGTGTCCATGAAATTTAGGACTAAATTTTATGTGAGTATAGTTGCAAGCTTTCTTCTTCTAGACATATGAAAGTACTTCAAAGAGGTTGTGAAGAAATGGAATGAAAAGATAAGTTCATTTTGGTGCAAGAAAATTTTGAAATCCATACATAGTTTTTCATAATATTCATTTCCATGGACTTTTTGAAGGCCCTACATATGCATGAATTTCGAGAAGTTTTGCTCCAAAATGAAGTTATAATGAACTATTCCTTACTAGAAATCAGATTGTGTTCTTTATCTATGGCTGCATAATAAACTACCCCAAACTTAGTGCCTTAGAACAAAACTATTAGTATTTCTCATGGTTTTGTGGGTTGACAGGCTCGTTTTTCTGATTGGGTTTACTCATAATGCTGCATTCTGTTATCAGATCTACAGAGTGGATTCCAGTTGAGCCAACTGGGTCAGCTGGGCCTCTCTTTCAGCATGATATTTCATTTCTGGCTTCTTCATGGCAGGAAATATCAGGGCAGTATTCCAATAGGTCAAATCCTAAAGTCCAGACGTCTATTAAGTCTTTGCTTCTATTATACGTGCTAATGTTTCTTTGTCAATAACAAGTCATATGGCCAATCCCTGAGTCAAGATGGGAGAAAGATACAAAAGTGTGAAGACACATAATTGCCAAGTGTGAATCATCAAGGCCAGTGCTTTAATGATCTCTGACAATCTGCTTTTATTAATTCTTACACAGCTTGGACCAAAGGGATACATCAATCCCCTTCTACTTCATTAAAAAAAACCTACTGTGGTAGTTATTTTATATTTCCCACTCTAGATCAATTTTTCAATCTTTTCCACTCTACTTTGTGCTTCAGGAAGCAGCCTCTTCACTTTTTTCCTGCTTCCCTTGCTTCTTTAGGCTCAGAGGTGGTATATCCATGAAAGTATGATTTAGGCAAGAAGGGGTCAAAGGAGTAGGGGCAGAAAATCTGAAAGTTTACTTGCTTGAGCTTGATTTTTAGAGAATGTTACAGGAAAGCTTGTCCTGAAATATTGTACTCAGGGTGCACCAGATCACCACAAACAAGGAAATCTGCAGGACAGCAGTTTTAATCAGATTTTTGGAAATGTGGTGTAGTAAGATGCATTTTGCTTGGGTAGGAGGGACTTCCTCTTCTACATTCTAGATGTGTATTATAAGCAAGAAGGGTCCTCCTGCTATCCTTTTAGTACATCATGGGCACTTCTCTTGCCCATGCTATAAAACCCTTGCTATAAAATCCCTGGAAAATCCCTTGTTTGGGAGGCAGTTTCTTTAGGGAATTGTACCTTCCCACTATCTCCTTTATTTATTTCAAGTAAATAAAGCTGTCCTTTAAGTAACTTCCACTAGAGGTTGATTCTTTGGTGATATCCCAAGTGAATGGACCCCTTGTATCTGCTAACAAAAATAAAGCTCAACTTAGGCCCAGGATGATATTCTATCTGGTTTTCTTATACCTTGCCCACCTTGTAAACACTCTTACTTTATTCATTTCACAAATTTTCCATTTGTTTCATGTTGGGACCCTGACATATTTAGCTGTAAATTCCTGGTTTAATGAAGCAGATTTAGGTGCATTTGAAAGCATACACACATGCACACACACATACATATATAATAAAGAATATCCTTGTCAGCTTTGGAAATTGAATTAGTCTTTCGGTTTCTATGTACCAGACTGACCTGATGGTGAGTACTTTTTTAAAATCCCATTCTCCAACATTATTCAACATTGTCTAAATTAAAACTGTTTTTCAGTATGTCCTTGGGTAGCACTTTGCATTTTCCTTTCTATTTTAGAGTCTGAAAAATAAATTACAGGCAGTATTAATCAAAATATTCAGATAATTCTTATGCACTGTTTATAAAGGCTGTAAACAAATAATTGCTTAGAAACTGGCTGAAAATGTTTATGGTAACTGAATTTCATACCTTGTTGGTAGATTTTATACATTGTTGTTGGTTATAATTTTTTTTTTGTTAAGATTTTATTCATTTACTTGAGAGGTAGAGTTACAGACAGTGAGAGGGAGAGGCAGAGAAAAGTCTTCCTTTTTTTAGTTCACTCCCCAAATGGCCGCAGTGGCTGCAGCTGCACCAATCTGAAGCCAGGAGTTTCTTCCAAGTCTCCCACGAAGGTGCAGGGGCCCAAGCACTTGGGCCATCTTCTCCTACTTTCCCAGGCCATAGCAGAGAGCTGGATTGGAAGAGGAGGAGCTGGGACTTGAACCGGTCCCCATATGGGATACCAGCACTGCAGTCAGAGGATTAACCTACTGCACCATGGTGTTGGCCTCATTGGTTATAATTTGTTACAAATACATTGGCTGTTTCACCCTTTAGCTTTACAAAATAGCATCATGTGTTATGTATTTTAAACTGGTTTTAAAGAAGTTTATAATTATTTAAATGACAAATAGATGCCAAACTACAGTTTATTCAATAATATTTCAAGTGGTTTAATCCACTTGAAATATCATTAATTTTTCAATACACTAAAAACTTTTGACAGTTATTTTTATCATGCAATCGATGTGATGACTCTATTATGACTATTTCATAATTTCATAATTAAAAATATTATTATTAAGGATCAAATGCCATGAATGGCTGAGTGATTTCTTTTAGTGAAATGAAGGTGGAGTTGGGAATGTGTTTGACCAAATGATGTTTGGCTTCCTGGATATATACTTCAACTTGACTTTTGTCACACTGGTTCCTATTTTCCTGTGATGTTCTGGATGGCTTATAACAGATGTATAAAAAAATTGAATGCTATCAAGGCCATAGATTCAGAAGATTTTAGCTCCAGATAGTTATTTAATGGCATGTCATAGGTAGAATTTTCTCAGCTCATATTATATGAGTAATTAGACTTTGTCAACTGTGTTAAATGGTTGCATAATAAAGGTTTTGAACTACAAGAAAACACAGAATTTCTTCCTTTAAGATATTGAGACACAAAAAATAGAAAATGAAAGATGTCATATTTTTCCCCAGAAACCTTTTATTTAAGGAATACAAACTTCATGCATTGCATAAATACAACTTTAGGAACGCAGTGATTCTTCCCACACTGATTCTTCCCCAAGTGTGCCTGCCCCCCACCCCTCTTCCTTCTCCCTCTCTTATTCTTATTTTTTACTAACATCTATTTTCAATTAACTTCACACACATATGATTAGCTCTACACTAAGTAAAGAGTTCAACAAATAGTATGAAAAAAAACAAACTGTTCCTCAACAGTCAAGAGAAAGGCTGTTCAAAGTCATTGCATCTCAACTCATAGAATGGCAAACGCCCAAAACAGCACTCCTGCCTCAGAATCAACCCTTGGGACATTTGGATCTGACTAAAAGGTCCATGAGAGTCTCACAGGCATGGAAAGCCATGACACGGTGGCAAAAGACAATCTAAATGAAAGATCCTGGTGAACAAGACCCCAGCAGAAGGAACAGGCCATCAAGGAGGGAGGCGCCTTTCTCTGAAAGGAGGAAGGAACCCCCACTGTGATATGGCCTTGACTAAACAAGTTCACAGTTGGTGAACTCAAGAGGCTTCAATAGCCTAGACAGCTCATAGCAAGAGTCTCGGGTGATTGCTGACATCATAAATAAGAGTGCCAATTGTTAAATCAACAACGGGAGTCACTGGGTACATGCTCCCCACGTAGGATCTCTGTCCTTAATGTGTTCTACTATGAAACTTAAAAACAACACTACTAGTCGAACAATACCCTATACCTGGTTCGGTTGTGTGAGTACAGCCTGTTGAAATCCCTGCTTAGTATATACTAAGTTGATCCTCAGTATATGAAGGTAATTGAAAATGAAATGTGATGAAGGGCGGGATGGGAGAGGGAGTGGGGGAGGGGAGGGCCACAGGAGGGAGGGAGGTTTGGGGGGGGAGCCACAGCAATACAAAAGTTGCATTTTATGTTCTATTTAAAACTATTGGTTGAACTCTGTAATTAATACACAATTACTCTTAGGTGTTTAATTAATGCTATAAATAGTACTCAAATAGTATTTTACACTTTGTGTTTCAGTGTGGGTGCAAAATGTGGAAATCTTTACTTAATATATGCGAAATTGATCTTCTGTATATAAAGATAATTGAAAATTAATCTTGATGTGAAGGGAAGGGGAGAGGGAGTGGGAGAGGGGAGCATTGTGGGTGGGAGGGAAGTTATGGGGGGGGAAGCTATTGTAATCCATAAGCTGTAATTTGGAAATTTATGTTCATTAAATAAAAAAAAAGTCATTGCATCTCAAAGTGCCAATTTCACTTCTACAGATTGCCTTTTAGGTGCTCTATATTAGTTATCACAGATCAGGAGTAACATATGGTATTTGTCCTTTTGGGACTGGCTTATTTCACTTAGTATGGTGTTTTCCAGTTTCATCCATTTTGTTGCAAATGAGAGGATTTCATTTTTTTTTACCACTTTGTGATATTCCATGGTGTACATATTCCCATAATTTCTTTATCCAATGTTTAGCTGATGTCCATTTGGGTTGATTCAATATCTTAGGTATTTTGAATTGAGCTGCAATAAACATGGAGGTGCAGATAACTTTTTGTTGTTGTTGTTGTTTTTGTTTGTTTTATTTCCCTTGGGTAAATTCCCGGGAGTGGAATGGCTGGTCATATGGTAAGTCTGTGTTAAGATTTCTGAAGTATCTTCACACTGTCATCCATAGTGGCTGTACCAGTTTACATTTCCAGAAACAGTGGATTAGGGTACCTTTTCCCTCACATCCTCAACAGCATTTGTTGTTTGTTCATTTCTGTATGAAAGTCATTTTTTTAACTGGGGTGGGGTGAAACCTCATTGTGGTTTTGATTTGCATTTCCCTGATGGCTAGTAATCCTGAGTGCTTTTTCATGTATCTGTTGGCCATTTGGACTTCCTCTTTTGAAAAGTACCTGCAGAATTATTCACAGGTACTTAAATCCAATTGAAAATAGATTCCAGTAAAAAAATAAGAGTAGGAATAATAGAGGGAAGATGTGTACAGTTCGGTACATGTTCCCACAGACTTACCCCTAAGGGTAAATCTAAAAACTTGCCATTGGACTCCAAAGCTCATTAAGCTGGGTGGTAGTAACGCCATCTTACATATTAAAATGATCATTTTAGGGTGTAACTGATCATATAGATAGGATTGTCAAAGGGATCACATAAATAAGACCAAGTGTCTGGAATAACAAAAGATAGAATTAAAAAGGAGAGAATGATCCAACATGGGAAGCAGTCCACAGAGCAAACTCATAGAATGACAAACTCCCTAAACAGCACTCTGACCTCAGAATCAGCCCTTAAGGCATTTGGATCTGGCTGAAAAACCCATGAGAGCATTTCAGACATGGAAAGCGAAGACAATGGCAAAAAATGATCCACATGAAGGATCTCTGTGAATGAGACCCCAGTGGAAAGAAGGGGCCATCAAAGAAGGAGGTACTTTTCTCTGAAGGGAGGAGAGAACTTTCACTTTGCTTATAGCCCTGTCTAAATATATTTGTCTACACTGCTGCAAGAACCACACAAAGGATCCTTGTAGCCCTCAGTGTAAGCATGGATCCCACCACAATGATCCTCACCAGGGAATCAGAGTGCCCCAAGCATGTGGAGACACACAGTGAATGCCCAAAGACCTAGCCACTCCCTGAGCCCTCCCACTCAGCCACGGTGTTTTCACAGTCCCAGCACACAAGGCTCTCACAGTCACAAGCACCCAGTCCCCTGTCAACGCTCCCATCCAGACTCAGGTGTCTCCTCTCAGCTCATAGTCTGGCATACAGACACGATCTGGCACAGCTGTTACATATGTCCAAAATGGCACCCGCAGTCTATCAGCTAGTTACAGGACACTGGTGCCAGCTGGTCAGGGAGAGAGAAATGTGGTCCCCTTTTTCCTCCTCTAGGTTGGCAGGTAAACAGTCCTCCACAGAACTTCAAGCCAGACTCACGCCAGGCTTTTCCCACAGCTTTATTGCCAGTGACTTGGGCTGCTGCAGTCTCATCTCACCTCACTCTCCAAAGCTGATACTAAGACTCTCAGCTGCTGGGTCCTGAGTTGTGCATGTCCACACCTTCCATGTAGGTCCATAATGTCTCTCTAATGTGCATGTAGTTTCCTCTGCCACTTTTTCCATAACTCTTCCCTGAGACTGTACTCCATTTTCTTTTATACTATCTTCCCCTAGACTAGAGCAGTAAGCTCCCTCCTTATTCTGCCATCCTGAAAACCTCTCCAAGATGTCATTTTAAGAATGATACATTGGAAATCAACTTATTTGGGAACAGTTATGTTAAACACAAAGGTTCATCAGCATTGATTTATATTATATGTATACTTTATCTACATACTGCATAACCTAGAAATAGTCATCAATTGTTTGCTATATTTAAACTTTGTGGCTATTAGAAAACCTCTGAATTAAAATACATTAAAGAGACACAACAATGAATAGCAGTGAATAAATTGTGGTTTAAAAAAAGTCAGGAAAAAAGGCATCTTGTAGACAAATGAGAAATTTGAATTTGAATTGGATATTATATCATATTAAGGTATTAAAATTTTGATAAACGTGTTAATATTATTGTGCCTAAGTGAGAATCTTCTAATTCTTAGAATATATGTAATGAGAGCTGACGCCACGGCTCACTAGGCTAATCCTCTGCCTTGCAGGGCCGGCACACCGGGTTCTAGTCCCGGTCGGGGCGCTGGATTCTGTCCCGGATGCCCCTCTTCCAGGCCAGCTCTCTGCTGTGGCCAGGGAGTGCAGTGGAGGATGGCCCAAGTCCTTGGGCCCTGCACCCCATGGGAGACCAGGATAAGTACCTGGCTCCTGCCTTCGGATCAGCGCGGTGCACTGGCTGCGGGCGGCCATTGGAGGGTGAACCAATGGCGAAGGAAGACCTTTCTCTCTGTCTCTCTCACTGACCACTCTGCCTGTCCAAAAAAAAAAAAAAAAAAAAAAAAAAAAGAATATATGTAATGAAATGTTTTTGGGTAGGGGCTGGCACTGTGGTACAGCAGGTTAACACTCTGACCTGAAGTGCCGGCATCCTCTATGGGTGCTGGTTCAAGTCCCGGCTGCTCCACTTCTGATCCAGCTCTCTGCTATGGCCTGGGAAAGCAATAGAAGATGGCCCAAGTCCTTGGGCCCCTGCAACCACGTGGGAGAGCCAGAGAAGCTCCTGGCTCCTGGCTTCGGATTGGCTCAGCTCCGGCCATTGCAGCCAATTGGGGAGTGAACCAGCAGATGGAAGACCTCTCTCTCTCTCCCTCTTCCTCTCCCTCCCCCGCCCCTCTCTCTCTCTGCCTTTCCTCCTTCTGTGTAACCCTGACTTTCAAATAAATGAATAAATCTTTAAAAAAAAAGAAATGTTTTTGGGTAAAGACTCAGAATGTCTATATCTTACTTGCATTTGGCCCAGATAGATCTATCAAAGGATAGAAATGATCCCTGAAATAATAGTCTTCAGATTAATCTGTTTATCATCTATTTTAATACATATATTTCACATGCATTATTTAAAAATTTATTTACTTTAATTTTACTTGAAGGGCTGAGAGAGAGAGAGAGAGAGAGAGAGAGCGATCTTTCACTCACAGGTTCAATCCCCAAATGCCCACAATAGGAGGAACTGGTCCAGGCTAAAGCCAGGAATCTAAATCTCAATCTAATTTCCCAAGTGGTTGGCAGGTAATAAAGTACTTGAGTCATAACTTCTGCCTCCTATGGTATGCATTAGGAGGAAGCTGGATTGGAAGCATAATCCAGGGACTATATGATGTTATGCAGGTATCACGATGTGTGTCTTAGCCCTTGAGCCAAATATCTGCCTCCCACTTAAAAAATGATCCATTTAGAAATGCCCAATGGTGCCATTAACAGGAGTGTCAGTTTGTTAAGTCAACAACAGGAGTCACTGTGCACTTACTCCTCGTGTAGGATCTCTGTCCTAAATCTGCTGTACATTGTGATTTAATGCTATAACTAGTACTCAAACAGTATTTTACACTTTGTGTTTCTATATGTGTGCAAACTGTTGAAAGCGTTACTTAATATATACTAAATTGATCTTCTGTATATAAAGATAATTGAAAGGCCAGTGCCACGGCTCACTAGGCTAATCCTCCGCCTTGCGGCGCCGGCACACTGGGTTCTAGTCCCGGTCGGGGCACCGGATTCTGTCCCGGTTGCCCCTCTTCCAGGCCAGCTCTCTGCTGTGGCCAGGGAGTGCAGTGGAGGATGGCCCAAGTGCTTGGGCCCTGCACCCCATGGGAGACCAAGATAAGTACCTGGCTCCTGCCTTCGGATCAGCGCAGTGCGCCGGCCACAGTGTGCCGGCCGCGGCGGCCATTGGAGGGTGAACCAACGGCAAAGGAAGACCTTTCTCTCTGTCTCTCTCTCTCACTGTCCACTCTGCTGTCAAAAATATACAATCAATACATGACGATCATTGAAATGATCTAATGTGATCTTAATGTGAATGGATGGGAAGAGGGAGTGGGAGAGGGGAGGGTTGTGGGTAGGAGGGACATTATGGGGGGGAAGCCATTGTAATCCATAAGCTATACTTTGGAAATTTATATTCATTAAATAAAAGTTAAAAAAATGCCCAATGATTCAGGAATATATATGTATATATGAAACATGTATATGTATATATGAAACACATGTATGTTTATATTTGTGTGTACATACTTCATGTGTGTAACTAGTTCACAATATTCTCTTCCCTTCCTGTATTGCGTATGTGTATAGGAAGGGAAGAGAATATTGTGAACTAGTTACACACATGAATACGCAATACAGACACATATATACAATAAAACAAAACAAATATGGTAATTTATTAACAATTATTTAATCCAGGTAGTGCATATAAAGTATGCATTGATGGCATTACTTGAATACAGGAGATGTATAATGAAAGTTATCCACTATTCTTCCAAGTTTCTTATATATTTAAAATGTTTTTATATGTTTAAAAATTGGGATCGAGAAAGGGAACTCTATGGCAGAGACAGTGACTTGTCTCTTATTATCCATTTTCCCCTTCTTCTTAGTAATACTATGAATTTACTTGGGGTTTCAAGGTGCCCAACTGGAAGTCAAATTTCCTACCTTGCTCTGAATCTGACTGTGGCTGTGTGACTAAGCTCTAGCTAGAAAGATTTAAGTGGAAATTTTTGGGCAAGATTTTTGGGAAGACCTCTTAAGTAAAAGTATCTTTTATCTTTCTGTCTTTCTTGCTTTTCTCCCCACTGCCTGGATATGGATAAAAAGACTAGAGCTGTTAGAAGCATCTAGGGTAATAAGATGACCTTGGGAATGTAGATTACAATCTAGTGAGGTGCAGTAGGTAGAAGTCTGGTTCTCTGATGACTGTGGGTCTCATAAAAAATTTTGGACTGCCAAACTCTGTGTTTCTGGCCATGTGGTGTTTAAGGCATATTATTTAGAGTATTCTGTTACATGCAACCAAAGTTAATCCTAAGTAACCCAAAGAGAAAGCATACTAACAAGGGAATGGTGTTTAACATATGCATACATTATGATGAGAATTAGGATATTTACTTGAGCAAATTGAAGTCTGAAGCAATTTATGCTCTTTTTGACACTTTAGGGAGAATATGTGGAGACAAATCTGATGGTGACATTTCTGAAGGGTGCTTCACATGTTAAAAGCCAGTCTACTGCTTTTTATTCATTTAGAAAAAAAGAAATGAGATAATGCCAGTGCAGATCCCATTGTATTTAAAAAATTTTATTAATATAAAAAGAACAGATTTTATACATTCCATAGGTACAGTTCCAAGAAGACAATCACACTTTCCTCACTTCCCTGTTCCTCTTGACCATCCTCCCTCCCTCAGCTCTCTTCTTCAGTTTTTGCAAGGGCATAATTTTAATCCACTCTAATTCATAGGCTTAATTTGCCACTAATCATAGTATTCAACAAGTAAAAAGTAGGAAGACCACAGTTCCACAAGAGTACAAACATGAGCTAAAAATGACAATCATATCGTTTCATTCCTATACTTTTTTGTATTCTATTTTAACTGCTACATATCAGAGAAAACATATTTGTCTTTTTGAGACTGGCATAATGGTTTCCAGTTGCATCCAATTTTTATGGCTAAATAATATTCCATAGTGTATGTATACCAGATGGACATCTGGGTTGATTATACATCTTAGCTATTGTGAATTGAGCTAAAATTACTTGGGAGTACAAATAATTCTTTCATATGCTTAAGTAATTTCCTTTGGGTAAATTCCTAGGAGTGGGATGGCTGATTCATATGGCAGATCTACTTCAGGTCTCTGAGGAATCTCCATACTGTCTTCCAAATTGGTTGCACTGGTTTACAGTCCCACCAACAGTGGGCTAGGGTATCCTTTTCCCCACATCCTTGCCAGAATTTATTGTTTTTTGATTTTTGGATGACAGCCATTCTAACTGGCATGAGGTGAAACCTCTCTGTGGTTTTGATTTGCATCTCCATGATGGCTAGTGATCCTGAGTATTTTTCTTATATCTGTTGGCCATCTGTATTTCATACTTTGAAAAATGTTTATTCATGTCCTTTGCCCATTTATTGACTTGATTGTTTGTTTTGTTGTTGAGTTTCTTGAGTTCTTTGTAGATTCTGGCTATTAATAAGTTGCATAATTTGTAAATATTTTCTCCCATTCTGTTAGTTGCCTCTTCACTCTATTGAGCGTTTCCTTTGCAGTGTGGAAGCATCTTAGCTTAATGTAATCTGATTCATTTGTCTATTTTTGCTTGGATTGCCTGTGCTTCTGGGGTCTTTTCAAAGAAGGCTTTGCCTACACCAATGTCTTACAGAGTTTACCTGATGTTTTACTCTAGTAATTTGATGGTATCAGTTCACAGATTTAGAACCTTGATCCATTTTGAATTGATTTTTGTATAAAGTATAAGGTAGGGGGCCTTGTTTCATACTTTTGCATGTGAAGATCAAATTTTCCCAGCACCATTTGTTGAAAAGACTGTCCTTACTCCAGGATTTATTTCAGCTCCTTCGTCAAATGCTAATTGGTTGTAGATGCATGGGTTAGTTTCTGGGGTTTCCATTCTGTTCCATTGGTCTATATGCCTATTTTTGTGCCAGTACTAGGCTGTTTAGATTTTAATTGCCATGTAGTATGTCTTGAAGTCTGCTTTTGTGATGCCTCCAGCTTTGTTTTTGTTACTTAAGATTGCTTTAGCTATTAAGTGTCTCTTGTATTTCCAAGTTAATTTTAGCATCTTTTTTTTCTAGATCTGAGAAGAATGTCATTGGTATTTTGATTGGGATTACACTGAATCTGTAAGCTGTCCATCTGTAGTATGTCCATTTTGATGAAATTAATTCTTCCAATCCATGAGCATGGAAGATTTCCCCATATTTTTGTGTCTTCTATTTTTTTCTTTAGTGTTTTATAATTTTCGTTGTAGAGATATTTGACATCCCTGATTAAATTTATTCCAAGTTATTTGATTTTTTTGTAGCTATTCTGAATGAGACTGATCTTAGAAACTCTTTTCACCCATGGCACTGTCTGTATACAAAGGTTATTGATTTTTGTGTGTTGATTTTATATCCAGCAACTTTACCAAACTCTTATGAGTTCCAATAGCGTCTTCGTGGAGCCTTTTTATTCCCCTATTTAGAGGATCATGTCATCCGCAAATAGGGATGATTTGACTTCCTCCTTTCCAATTTGTATCTCTTTAAATTTTTTTCTTGCCTAACAGCTCTGGCTTAACCTTTCATAAGTATATTCAATAGTAATGGTGAAAGTGGGCATCCTCAGAAAATTGAAAATAGATATACCATAATATAGATATAGATAAATAGACATACCAACCCAGCAATCCTACTCCTGGGAATTTACCCAAGAGAATTAAAATCAGCAGATGAAAGAGTTATCTGTATCCCCATGTTTATTGCCACTCAATTCACAATAAGCTAAGATATGGAATCAACCCAGATGTCTACAAACTGATTACTGGATATGAAATTATGGTATGTATACACTATGGAATACTACTCAGCCATGTAAAAGAAAGAAATCCCATCTTTTGCAACAAAATGGATGCAACTGGAAACTATTATAATTAGTGTAATACACCAGTCCCCCAAAGACAAATACCATATGTTTTTCTTGATCCATGATAACTAGAATACCAATGATTGTATACAGCCCTTGTCTCTGCTATTGAGGAACAGTTTTTTTTTCTTCTTACTATTTGTTGAACTCTTTAGTTAGTGTAGGGTTAATTAGTGAGGGTTAATCTTACAAGTATAAAGTTAACTGAAAATAAGCCATTGTAGAAATTAAGACTATATGTGTAATTCTTTCCTAGGTTTTTTTTTTTTTTTTTTTCTGTTCTTTCATATCATGTTTCAGCTTGTTTTGGAATTGTAAGCCCAAATTTTCATCTGTTCTATGTGTTTTCAACATCTATGAGGATGACATGATACTCCTTATCCTCTTTTTTTTTTTAATAGTAACTTTGTATGCATGGACTTTGACCTTTATTTTTTTGTTGCTCATTTTTTTAAATTCTAATGCAATGTTTTAAAAAAATCTTTAGAAAATTTTATTCATTGTCTTGAGAGGCAGAAAGACAGAGAGCAAAAAAAAAGTTTGATCTAACAGCTGGAGCTGTGCCAGGGCCAAAGCTGGGAGTGATACTGCAATCTACATTTCCCAAATGGGTGCCTGGGACTCAACTGTTTGAGCCATCATCATTGCTTCCTAGGGTCTTCATTCATAGGAAGCTGGATTCAGGAGCCAGGGTCAGGGCCAGGAATCAAATTCAGGCAATCAGATGTGGAGCACAGGTGTCTCAATTGTTAACTAAACATTGACCCATGTTGCTCATTTTTATATAAAATTAATTTTCCTGCCCTTTTGAAAGCAGACTATTGCAGGACAGGTTTTCTAACTTCTTAACTCTGGAATTCCCTTTTCTTTTATGCTTGTGAAGTCTTAAACAATATGATAGCTCATTTTTTAAGCTCTCTGAGTTTTGTTTATCTTTTCCATTTCTACATGAATCTTTTCTTTCCTTTTTCTCTGTTGTCACTGTGTTACTCAACTTGACTCTACCCTCAGCAGTTTTTCCTCAATGTGGGGCTATACCTAAGGGTCTTTTCTTCTTAAAGATTTATTTATTTGCTTATTTGATAGGCAGAGAGAGAAAGAGAGATACAGATATACAGATAAGAGATAGATAGAGCGAGCAGCCTCTTCCATCCACCATCCAGTGGTTCACTTTCCAAATGGCCAGTGATATGGGCTGGTCCAGGCTGAAGCCAGAAGGCTGTGAAACTGCATTTGGGTGTGCCAATAGTTGGCAGGAGCCCAAGCACTTGGGCTATCTTTCACTGTTTTCTTTTTCTCTCTTTCTTTCTTTTCCTTCTTTTTTCTTTCTTTTCCTTATTCTTTCTTTCTCCTCCTCCTCCTCCTCCTTCTTCTTTTTTTAAGATTTACTTACTTATTTGAGAGGCAGAGTTATAGAGAGAGGGAGAGGCAGAGAGACAGGTCTTCCATCTGATGGTTCACTCCCCAAATGTCTGCAACAGTTGGAGCTGGGCCCATCTGAAGCCAAGAGCTTTTCCCAGATCTCCCATGAGAGTGCAGAGAGTTGGATTGGAAGAGGAGCAGCTGAGACGTGAACTGGTGCCTATATGGGACGCTGGTGCCACAAGTGGAGGCTTAACCTACCATACCACAGCACTGGCCCCTCTTCCACTGCTTTTTAAGGCAAATTAGGGAGCTAAATCAGAAGTGCAGCCAGCACTGAAAATGTCAATTTGATATGGAATGCTGGCATCACAAGCAGCTGCTTATCCTGCTGTGCTACAGTGCCAGCCTCTACCTTGGGATCTCTTAGCTGTGAGGGATCCACATAAAGTTAATGGAGAATGTGCTTAAAAATATATATGATCTCCAGCCGGTGCCGCGGCTCACTAGGCTAATCCTCCGCCTTGTGGCGCCGGCACACTGGGTTCTAGTCCCGGTCGGGGCGCCGGATTCTTTCCCGGTTGCCCCTCTTCCAGGCCAGCTCTCTGCTGTGGCCCGGGAGTGCAGTGGAGGATGGCCCAAGTACTGGGCCCTGCACCCCATGGGAGACCAGGATAAGTACCTGGTTCCTGCCATCGGATCAGTGCGGTGCGCCAGCCGCGGCGGCCATTGGAGGGTGAACCAACGGCAAAGGAAGACCTTTCTCTCTGTCTCTCTCTCTCACTGTCCACTCTGCCTGTCAAAAAAAAATGTATGATCTCAAATTTTTTTGCATCAAAATAAACATCTTTTAATCCCATTTTCTCACAAACTTTTTGAAGGACCTTTATATATACGGTCAAGATTGTTCCATCCCCTTCCAACCTTAATACAGACCCCTGATATTAGGATGTACAAAAGCGTTCCTAGTTTCAGGTACTATTCTTAAACTGACCCTTTGAACTTTCCAGTGAACACCTGTTGGCTCTTTTGAGATTCTCAGATGAGCTGCCCTTAGCTTTTCTTCACATCCTTCTGCTCTTGCAGCTGTTGTTTATGCCTCTATACTCACATTTTGGGGTGGCCTATCACTTATTTTTGTTGTAGGTTTTTTCCATAGGCTTTTTATATTATTATTATAATTTTTAAAAAAATTATTTATTATTTGTTTGAGAGGCAGAGAGACAGACCAACAGCTGGACAGAGAATTCCTATTCACTGGTTTACTTTCTTTTTTTTTTCTGTTTTAATAAAGCTTTTGTTACAAGAACATGTGAAGAACTGGCTTATGTCCAGTTTTCCCACCCCCTGATCTAGATAAACTCACAAATGGTACCTCTCTTCCAAAGACCATAGAGTGTTACAGTTCCGGCCAGACATTGTCCATTCCCACAGCATGTAGTCCAGCAGTCCCCTGTTCTCCGGCACGAAACCACAGACAATGCTGACCCCTATATAGGCCATGGTTTTTTCCCTACATATACCTATGATAACGTTCAATTTGTAAATGATGCAGAGCTGGAGATTAACAACAATAACTAATAACTAAGTAGAACAACTGTAACCATATGTTGTAATAAAGGTTATGCAAATGTGGCCTCTATCTCTGTGTCACTCTGAATATTTTAATCCCTCCTTGTACTGGATGTATTCTTGGACTATGGTTAACTGTGGGAACTGAAACCATGGCTAAGGCAAGGGCGGGGGGGGGGCCTTTACTCTGGATCTGTGGCTGTGGTAGAAGAAGCCAGACTCACTGTCTCTTTCTTTTGACCCCGCTCTTTCTTCTTCGCCCCTTCACTCCAATCTGTCGGATTTCCATCAGTAAACCCTTTCCCTTAAAAAAAGAAGCAGCAGCAGCAGCAGCCGGAGTACCCTGGAGACCCACTGCTGCAAGTCAACCTGAAGGGAAATGGATAGAAACCTGGAAGGGCCAATGCTGTCTCACTGAGAAGCCTGAGCATGTAGCTGCTCTTGGCTTTTGCTGATCGGGGAGCTGCAATCAAGGGCAGAGGGTCAGGTCATTCTGAGGCAGCAGGTGCAATGTGGAGAAAAATAATAAATTATGGACGGCATGGTGCCTTAGAAGCCATAAAGGCTCAGTGCATTTTCCCACAGCACTGCAGAATTCACTGTTGAAGCAACAGGACTATGATCTTACAGGTAAAGTTACTTAGCATCCAGCTACAAAAAACAGAAAACTGGTCTATAAAAACTATGAGAGTAGCGGTAGCCAAAAACCACACAATTTCTTGTAGGTAGAGAAAACTGTGCCCATTTTCTTGGCCACCTGCTGAATATTACCAATGGAGAAACCAAGGCCCAAGGAAGGGGTGGCAATCTGGCCAATTCATATGTGGAGGAAGCTCCAGGGCCATTGCAACTTCCAGCCTGATGCTACCCCACTGCGGGCACTAGGGTTTCACAGGGGGCTCGCTGACTACAGGAATGCACATGATAGGAGATTAAGCTCTAAGAACCCGGCTACCTTTAAAGACAGGTTTTCCTGATGGGACAGAAACGGTCCCAGAAGACATGTGAGATCCAGTGAGGAAAAGAGAATGCAGCACATCACTGGCTGAACGGAGCCGCCAGGAACTGCACTGGGTACAGCAGCAGGTGGCCATCTTCCCAGGAGTACAGGTGCTGGTCTCTCATGTTGTAGGCTAACATGGCCAGAACAGACTGGGAAGTTCTGACATCAAAGCTGGCGTTGATCTGCTTTCCTCCTAACAGATCGAAGGCGAACGTTATCCTTGTGTCTTTGGTGTCTGTGACGTAGAGGATCCCGTGGGCGATGAAGGCGTTGCCTGCCTTGGACTTTGGGTAGGTGGTATTGATGTGCTGTGCCACAGAGAAGGTCCTCTCCTCCAGCTGCACAACAAGGAAGCTCGAGCCATCCGCGCTCGAAGCGTAGATGACCCACAGCTCCTGTTCGTCCATAGCCAGGTTGAAGTACGTCTTGGAATTGACGAAAAGGTATTTGCAGTCAAAATACCGGGAGTTTTTAAGCTTCAGCGTTTCAGATGTTTCTTTGCCAAAATCGAATCTCACGATGGTGTTGGAGCCCCCTTTGTGGTAGTAGAGAGAGTTGTTGTACAAGGTGTGGCCGCAGCCATGGAAATAGTAGGAGGTGAATGATCGTGCAGCTGCCGTTCAGGAGGACGGTCTGGCCTTTGAATTCCATCACCATGATGCCTGAAAAGTGTTCAGTCACCCAGATGCAGCTGTCGTTCTTAATAGCAGACTCTTGTATCCAAGCCCCAAAATTCTCCTTGACCTTGAAGACTTGTGTTGGGTTCCCAATGGAGGTGATCGTTGATTCTGCTTTGGGGGAGTGATGCTCATTGACTTTCTCATCAACTTTTCCAACCAAGGTGTCATCATTGGGTATGGCACATGTCTCGCCTGGGCACTGGCCATTGAACAGGTTTGGCTGCTGAGGGCCTTTGGATCTTCTGCTTCCAGGGGGCCCTGGAGGCCCTGGGGGGTCTGGGGGCCCAGGTGGGCCGGCTGGGCCTGGGTCACCTTTGGCACCTGCTACAAGCACATCATTGGACGCATCTCCCTTGGCTCCCTTCTGCCCCGGCGGGGCCTCGTTGCCAGTCGAGCCCAGTTCACCGACGTCCCCCCTCTCTCCCTTTTCCCCTGGATTTCCTGTGGCTCACTGGTTCACTTTCAAAATGCTCACAGTGGCAAGGCTAGGTCAGGCTGGAGTCAGGAACCAGGAACTCAATCCAGGTCTCCCATATTGAGATCACCTGCTGCCTTCCAGGATGTACATTGGCAGGAACCTGAAATCAGAAATTGAGCTGGTACTTGCACTTGGGTATTTGGATATGGGACGTGGGCATCCCAATCAGTGTCCTAACTGCTAGCTCATGTGCCTGCCTCACTTTATTGGTTTTTATGGTTAGGTTTGTGGAGATTGAATAACCATGCCTCTGCTGCAATCCTTCTCAGGAATGTCTGTGATTTGTGTTTAAAAAGATGTGAAGTCATGCTCATGGCTCACGGTTTAGCTTGCTAGTGTTGCCATAACAAACTACCACAGAATAGGTGACTTAGTGTTCCTTATTTATTTATTTAAAATTTTATTTGCTTATTTTCACTTTATTTAAAAGGCAAAGTGAGAGAGACAGAGAGAGAGAGAGATCTTCCACCTGCTGGTTGACTATCCAGATGCCCTCAGCAGCAGGGCCTCAAGCTCAGAACTCAATCCAGGTTTCCTAAATGGGTGCCAGGGACCTAAATACTTGAGCCATTACCTGTTGCCTCCCATGGTGTACATTAGCTGGGAACTGGACTCAGAAGCAGAGCTGGGTCTAGAACTCAGGCACTTTCCTATGGAATGTGGGTTTCCTAAATGCATTTAACTAGTTTGCCATATGCCTGACCCAACTGAGTGGCTCAAACCATTTTCGGGGCTGCTGTTGTGGTGTAGTGGGTTAAGACGCCCACTGTGATGCTGGCATCCAACAACAGCCCAGGTTCAAACCCACTGCTTTATTTCTGATCCAGCTCCCTGCTAATGTGCCTGAGAAAGTAGGAGATGGCCTAAGTTCTTAGGTCCCTGCCACCCATGTGGGAGAACAGGGTCAAATTCCAGGCTCCTGACTGTGGTATGGTCCAGCCCTAGCCATTGTGACCATTTGGAGAGTAAATCAGTGGATGGAAGATTCTCTCCCTCTCTCTCTCTCTCTCTCTCTCTCTCTCATTCTGCCTTTCAAATAAATAAATGTGTTTGGGGTTGGTGGTGTGGCTTAGTGGATTAAGCTGCTAGCTGTGATCCATATCCCATATGGGTGCCAGTTCAAGTCCCAGCTTGTCCATTTCTAATTAGCTCCCTGCTAATATACCTGGGAAAGTAGCAGAAGATGACTTAAGTACTTGGACCCCTGCGATCCATGTGGGAGACTTGGATGGAGGTCCTGGTTCCTGGCCTCAGCTTGGCCCAACCCTGGCTGTTTCAGCCATTTGAAGAGTGAACCAGCAGATGGAAGATCACTCTCTCTGACTTCCCACAACCCCCATAACTATGATTTTCAAGTTTGAAAGGCAGAGTTACAGAGGTAGAGGAGGGAGGGAGGGAGGGAGAGAGAGAGAGAGAGAGAAAGAGAGAATCTTCCATCCGCTTGCTTGCTTCTCAAATGGCTGCAACGGCTGGAGCTGGACTGATCTGAAGCCAGGAGCCAGGAGCTTCTTCCAGGTTTCCCATGTGGGTGCAGGGACCCAAGCACTTGGGCCATTTTCCACTGCTTGCCTAAGCCATAGCAGAGAGCTTGGTTGGAAATGGAGCAGCTGGGTTTCGAACTGGTGCCCACATGGGATGTGACAACACAGACAGTAGCTTTACTTGCTATGCCACAGCACTGGCCCCTAAATAAATAAATCTTTAAAAAAAACCCAAATAAATCTTAACATAAAATAAAGAAATTACTTTTGTTATAGTCCAGAGTCTGGAAGTCTGAAATCAACATATGATTGTTTTTTTTGGAGATTGTTCATTCCGTAACATACATCCTTTTATATTTAAAATGTATTTATTAAAAAAGATTTATTTATTTATTTATTTATTTGAGAGAGAGAGAGAGAGAGAGAGAGAGAGAGAAATCTTGCTTTAACTGGTTTATTCTCCAAATGGTCAAAATAGCCAGGTCTGGGCTGGGCTGAAACCAGCAATTAGGAATTCCATTCTGGTCTCCCCCATGGGTTCCAGGGACCCAAATACTTGGACCATCTCCGCTATCTTCCCAGGCACCTCAGCAAGAAGCTGGATTAGAAGTGGACTGGCTTTTTGATATGGGATACTGACTTTGCAAGTGGCAGCTTAACCTGCTGCACCACAATGCCAGCCCAACAAACACATATGTTCTAATTCTCTAATATCTATAGCCATAGCTCTCATCCAGGCTCCTTTTTTAGAGTTCAGACTCTTACCTCCCAGTATCTCCCTTTCAGATATACTTGCCCACCATGTTTATGCTGTCACTGTCTTGCATGGTTGACTGAATAAATTATCGAGTCGTTGTTGCATATGTGGACCCACAACACTTCAAAGAATGCATGTCCAGAATGACACTCATTTTCTTTTCCTTAAATCTTTATTCATCTTGGTAAGTGACACCAATATGGTCACTCAGGTGAGAAATCTGTGGTCTTTTATAAGCTCTTCTCTTTTACCTGCCACTTTGAAGAGTCATGGAGTTCTTTTGTTTCTGTGTGCTTAATGTTTTTTTCCCTATTCTTTCCTTTTGTTTTTTCTATCTATGCCTGCTTCTGTTTTGATTCAGAATCTCTCCTTATTTTCACTTGGATTTTCCTGCCTTAAATTTGCAATTAGATAATTTATTTAGGAATGGATAATATACTCACATGATTCCTTTTTTTTTTTTTTTTTTGACAGACAGAGTGGACAGCGAGCGAGCGAGCGAGCGAGAGAGAGTTCTTCCTTTTCTGTTGGTTCACCCCCCAGTGGCCATTGCTGCCTGTGCGCTGCGGCTGGCGCACCTCGCTGATCCGAAGCCAGGAGCCAGGTGCTTCTCCTGGTCTCCCATGCGGGTGTAGGGCCCAAGGACCTGGGCCATCCTCCACTGCACTCCCGGGCCATAGCAGAGAGCTGGCCTGGAAGAGGGGCAACCGGGAAAGAATCCGGCGCCCCGACCGGGACTAGAACCCGGTGTGCCTGCGCCGCAGGTGGAGGATTAGCCTATTGAGCCACGGCACCGGCACTCACATGATTCTAAAACCAAAAGCTTCAATTTGAGGGTGGGCATTGTTATACAGAGATTAAACTATGGCTCACAACATCTGCATCCCATATCTGAGTGCTGATTTGAATTCTGACTGCTCTGCTTCTGATTCAGCTTCTTGCTAATGTGGCTGGGAAAGCAGCAGATGATGATCCAAGCACTTGGACCCCTGCCACTCATGTGGAAGACCTGGATCCAGGTCCTGGCCCCTGGCTTCAGCCTCACCTACTGTCAGCTGTTGTGGGCATTTTTGGGAATCAGCCATTTGATGGAAGGTCTCTCTTACTGTCTTCCCCCTTTCTCTGCCATTCTTCCTTTCAAACAAATAAATAAGTAAATCTTAAAAAAAAAAAAAAACTCTAGTGAAATGTTCATTCTGAACCCTCTATTTGAGCCACCCAGTTCACTTCCCTGGAGGCTATTAATGTTATCAGTTTCTAGTGTCTCTTTAGAGACATATTTTATGTATATGTTGTTCTCTCATGTATGCGTGCTTATTAAAGTAAAAATACTTTTGCTTGTTCTTTTCTATTTAAATGGTAGGATATGCTGTATGTTATTCTGCAATTAAAAATTAGCAATAACTATTGGATATCATTTTCTGTCAATGCATAAAATGGTTTTTAATAGTTTTACAGTATTCCATTTTATAGATATACTGTTGATGAACATTTATAAGCTATGAATTACCTTGTATGTAACCTTTTATACTTGTGTAAGTGTACCCATAGGATACATTTTTCCAAGTGGAATTGCTGAGTCAAAAGATATGCAGATTTTTAGTGTGGACAGATGTTGCCAAACTGTCCTTCAACTTGTCTTTTGAAGTAGTCTTTTTTTTTTTTTTTTTTTTACAGGTAGAATTATACACAGTGAGAGAGAGAGAGAGTCAGAGAGAAAGGTCTTCCTTTTTCCATTAGTTCACTCCCCAAATGGCTGCCATGGCCAGCGCTGTGCCGATCCGAAGCCAAGAGCCAGGTGCTTCTTCCGGGTCTCCCATGCAGGTGCAGGGGCCCAAGCACTTGGGCCATCCTCCACTGCCCTCCTGGGCCACAGCAGAGAGCTGGACTGCAGGAGGAGCAACCGGGAAGAGGAGCAACCGGATCTAGAAGCGGTGCCCATAAGGGATGGTGGTGCCACAGGCGGAGGATTAGCCTCCTCCTGGTCTCCCATGTGGGTGCAGGGGCCCAAGCACTTGGGCCGTCCTCCACTGCCCTCTTGGGCCACAGCAGAGAGCTGGCCTGGAAGAGGAGCACCCGGGACTAGAACTCGGTGCCCATACGGGATGCCAGCACTGCAGGCAGAGGATTAACCAAGTGAGCCACTGTGCTGGCTCCTGCAGTAGTCTTTTGACAGATATCTCTGCTTTGAATTCATCCCCTCACTGCTGCCAGTGACAATTTCTAAAATGAAACTCTAATCATGTCACACAGCTTCTTAAAACTCTTCAGTGACTCCCAATTACTCAACAAATAAAATTCAAATTCCTTGATATGGAGTACACAACCCTCTTTTGGGGTTTTTGCTCATCTGGCCAGATTAATTTCTCACCATTTTCCTAGGTTCATTTTACACTCCAGTTAAGTTAGTTCCTGTTTCCAATAAAAGCTCTGCTCCAAGTCTTTGTACCTTTATACATGCTATTTCCCCTGCTTGGAATACTGTCTCATCCTTCAGTACTCAGTTACTTCCTACTCAACAGGATAAAAATATGCGCTGGCTTTTGCTACCACAGTTCTAGGTACCTATCTCTTTGATCACCCTGTCTCTGTGAACAGTAATTACTTGTTCATATCTGTGCATTAAATAGCTATACTATTGACTTCATAAATGCAAAAGGAATGCAGAGTCCAGTCAGGCAATAAGAAGAGTTGAATACAATTAACTAAAAATGAAATTAGCTAT